GGCATGCCATATACTGCACAAGCATAATCAATACGCGATAGAATAAGTGCCCGATATATCCGTAGTAAAGCAATACGATCAGCACCCCAATGCGCATTTGAAATGACGCGTAACATGTTCATAGTTTTCTCACAGCGTTTTCGCAACTGTTTAATATGAGGTCCAAATGTGAACTTCTTGTCGAGGAAAAAAAAGAAGAAAAAAACTGCCATTTATAANATTCAAAACATCTCTTTTTAGCAACTATCAAATCCAAAGCCTGATGAATGGTCAAAGTTCACAGAAACTTTGGAAGAATTTCAAAATAATCAGCCATATTTCAATGGAGACGTTTTATCTTCTTCTCCAGCTCCTGTTACTTCTCTTCCTCAATCTCCTTACCTTCCAATGACTCCAGTCAGATGAATTGTTATGCCTTACATCTTCAGTTCCGTCCAAAAATCTATTTTCCTCATCACCCTTTGTTGAACTTGTTCTAAATTTATTTATTATGGTGAAAAGGAACCAATGCTTTTATATTTATTAAATATTTTTATATTGTAGTTTAAATTAAATTTTTGTCGGGATCTGCAGATTCCGAGGGGGGAAACCTATGTGATAAAAATAAGAGTAGAGCTTCTGATGCCTTATACTTCAATCCTGTGATTCTATATTAAAAACACGATGTTTACTAAATTTTAATTGTTCTGAATGAAATATATTGTAAATAATTTACCGGTTTCTATGTATTTTTGTCTCTGTTGTCTCAGGATTTATTAAATGTGATTCCAAAGTTTTATATTTGCATATTGTTTATTTCTACACAATGTTGTAGTTTCTTCTGTCTGTAAGGTTTGCTTGTCTTGTTTAATAAATTACTTTTTGTGTAATTGAGTTATTATTAGCTTGAATAATTTCAAATGGCAGGAGATTCTGGGCTCTGATTACCCATATCCACTAAATATTCATAACCACAAATTTCAAAACCACACTTATTCACTTTATAAATTATGATATTCTATTTGGTATGTGAAAAGAATAAATCATAAAAGCAGGTTCAAATTTTCCCCAAAATGATAACAAACAGAAACTCTGAAAGAAATCTAATTGAAAATTTTTAAAAGCATAAATCCACTTTTCAAATTTTTATTGAAATTGGTTGATATTTAAAACCATAAAAACTTGTAATTATTCAATGTTTTTGAATAAATCATATTGCAATTTAATTTTTTTAAATTGGATATTAATTTCATTAACCCCCTCAGGATTCTTTGCTTAAAAAGTTGTATTTTAACCTGTAGTCTTCTCTACATACCAAAACTAGTTTTTCCTTGTTATTAGATAAGGAAATAGTGAAATCAGGGAGAAACACTATAATTGATAAGTATCAACTTTGTTAAGAAATTAAAAAGTCGTTAAAACATTTTACTTTAGTTTAGTTGACATAATTTCATTGAACTTGTCATTTAGACTTCAATTGCTACTGTGTAAAGTTTGTTTATGAAATTGAAAATATGTATTTATCAATTATTTTAATTAAAACTCGCGTTCAATGTTGTTTCTGCAGATTTTCAAAACAAAATTTTGTGGCTTCAATTATAACCTTGTTTATAAAATTTAATGAATATGCATTTGTATTTTTATCAAAGATTAGATTCAAGAACATATTATAATAAATATTGTTGTTGTTAATTTACGTCGCACTAGAGCTGCACAATGGGCTATTGGCGACGGTCTGGGAAACATCCCTGAGGATGATCCGAAGACATGCCATCACAATTTTGATCCTCTGCAGAGGGGATGGCGCCTCCGCTTCGGTAGCCCGACGACCTGCACGCGAAGTCGAGCACTTTACGGTAGCACAGTTTAACGAGGACCAATACCGCACACCCTCGGTCCCTACGCAGACTGATCCAAGTGGTCACCCACCCGCACACTGAACGCAGCCAGTGATGCTTGACTTCGGTGAACTGCTGGGAACCGTGTCGTAACGATCAGTCCACTGCGGGACTTATAATAAAGAACACATTCTGTCAAAGAGTCTAGTTAAAAAAGACAGTTGATCATTATTGTACTGAAACAGAATGAAAAATGAATTTTTAGCTTTATATTCTGTATTTTGACATTAACAGTGTACTTTTATACATTGTGCTCTGCTTTATTTTCTATAATAACCAATCACCCGACCCAATTTTGAATTTGTGACTAGCAATGTTCAACTCCCTAAGCCTTGTAATTTTGAACCCAGCCCAGAAGACAAAAGAACTTCTAGAACAAGTACTAGGACAGACTAGCCTTTATGGAGGATTTTTTTTTAATGGATCTAACCCACATTTATGTTACATGGAGAGGAAAACCTTCCACCCTTAGCCGACGGTAAGGGGTCTACCACTATGATCAGTCTACCACTTAGGATATTTTAAGTTAGCACTGTGGTCTGTTTGAGCCCGAAGTAGAATTTTTATAAGCCAGCCAGTGCTGAGATTTGAACGTGGCTCACCTCACTGGGAGACGAACACTCTAACCCCTAACCCACCGCAGCTCTGCGTTATTGTAACAATCCAAAGATGCGTTAGAAAGTTTTTTTTTGCTTATTTTCTAGCTTACAAACAAAACAAAAATCCCATGGATTTAACTTTCTGTATAGCAGTTTGATTAAATAATTATTAACTTAGTAAATTTGTTTAAATGTGTGATAGCTTGCTATAAAAATTATGTCCAAACAGGACAATTATTATTAAACAAAACTTGAAAAAAAGAACTTTATTTCAATTTTTTTTTAAATCTTCGAATTTATAATATTTTCACTTATTGTTAGTTTTAGAGAAATACTCCACAAAATGGGATTTTAAATTTTTTTAAATTTTAAGCTCATTTTTCTGTATTTTTTCCCTAATTTTTTAAACAAAAGTGTTTAGGATCCTAATATTAGAATAGATATAATCATTTTTATATTTTTATAATAGAAGTTTGAGTGTGTGTGTTCCTATGATAACTTAATGCTAGGAATAAAAAGAAGATTGATTGATTGATTGATTGAATGTAGAGTTTAATAGCACAAGATCCAAATGTGAATATACTGCGCCAAACAATATGTTTATACTTGTCAAAATTAAAGTGCATACATATTTTCCATAAATCACATTAAAAATTGATAAAAACGTATAGAAACAATCAACGGTAATATTGGATTAAAATCAGGTCAAAGTTAAAGCACAGTAAAATTTTGAAAGACATTTAAAATAGTGTAAAAGTAAGAATATCCTTCTAAAAGTGAATAAATTCATGAACAGAATAAACTTATATACAATTTAAAATGCCAATAGCACGTAAAAATGCAAAAATGTTAGGATGATGAGAGTCACCCAACAAATCTCCCATAGATAAAATAGAACTACCAAAAAAGGTAAGACGATGACTGTTAAAACATGGGCAAATGATTAAAATATGGTGAATCGAAAGTAAAACATCACAAGTGTTACATTGAGGAGGTGGTTCACCAAACAACAAATGTAGATGGGTCAGTCTGGTATGTCCGATTCGCAGCCGGGTAAGTTTAACATCTGCACTACGTAATCGCAACACAGGAAAGGGTTCCAAATTTGATTTATGAGCGTGCAACTTATTATTCACTTGGTTATCCCACTGTTGCTGCCATAAAGATTTTATATACTTTTTAATATGTATTTTTATATCTGAGAATGGTATAGATAAATTTAAAGCAGTAGTAGCAGATCGCGCTGCTGTATAGGCTAAATCATTGCATGGGATTCCTACGTGACTTGGAACCCAGCAAAACAAAATGTCCAAACCATTCTTATGAAGATTAAATAGCAAATGCTGTATAAAACACAAAATGGGATGAGTTTCATTGTCAAAATGTTTAAGTTGGCGCAATACGCTCATACTATCCGAATAAACGCAGTACTTCCGATTCAAACTAGCTGAAATAAGCCTTAATGCCAACAGAATTGCAACGGCTTCAGCGGTGAATACGGAACACGTAGTTGGTATTTTATAACTGTAGGTGTCGTCAGCAATAACAATACCACAACCTACATAGTCAGGAGATTTTGAGCCATCTGTGAAAACCGGAACATATTGACAATATTAATGACGATGAGCTTTGTATAGTTGCTGAAAAACGATAGCCGTAACATGAGAGTTACTATGTACATCGAATGGAGAATGAAAATGATAGTGTGAAACGTTCCAAGGTGGAATAGGCGAGTGATCGACACATTGTGTAGTTGAGTTACAGATATTGAATGATTGGTTGAGCGAGCACATGCGAGCATTAAAAGGGCGAACATGTGAGGGTCGAGCATCATAAATCCGCTCTAAACTCCCTGGAAGTGTTTCACGTTTAAGAGGATGTGATGTGGATGAGATTACGGGAAAATAATACGTTAGACCGAGTTGCATGCGTCTCAAATCTAGAGGCAATTGGTGACACACAGCATATAGGCTTTCAACTGGAGAAGTACGAAATGCGCCGCTACATATACGCAAGGCAGTATGATGCACTGTATCCAACCTTTTAAGGTGAGAAGCTGAGGCAGTGCCATATACTGCACAAGCATAATCAATACGCGATAGAATAAGTGCCCGATATATCTGTAGTAAAGCAATACGATCTGCACCCCAATGCGTATTTGAAATGACGCGTAACATGTTCATAGTTTTCTCACAGCGTTTTCGCAGCTGTTTAATATGAGGGCCAAATGTCAACTTCTTGTCGAGGAAAAAAATGAAGAAAAAAAAACTGCCATTTATAACCAAACGCAATTTTTTCAACCTTAGAATGGTTTGAATCCCAACTGAAGGAAAATGGTGATTAAACATATTAACAACAATAAAGTTTAGTATTCAATTGGGAATACTATTTACAAAATAGAGTGAAATACAATCAACACCTGAAAGCCAGAATGATAACTAAAAATCATAACATTCATATGTACAGTTTTTTTTTTTTTTTTTTTTTTTTTTTTTTTNTTTTTTTTTTTTTTTTTTTTTTTTTTTTTTTTTTAAATTTAGGGACCAAGTGCAAAAATCAAAGTCTTAATTTCCCAAAACAATAATTACAATAATAATGCATTCTTGATTGTATATCTTTTTAAAGTGTAAGAACGAGGCACAAATGTAACACCAATCCTGGAGTGTGAGTTGAATAGTGTCACTGATTTTTATTTTATTTTTTCTAATTTTACTTAGCTCTTGCCAATGATTTTTTGGATCTCAACTTTCATTTCTTGCACCAAGTCCCTCAAAAAGTTGAACTAAAGAAATTTTTAGTCCTCATGGAAAATGCTTTAGGTTACGTTGTAGTTGTTGCTTCGTTTTGCTCAACAGTATTTTGATTATTAATTTGTGCTGCAGAAGGTGCCGTTGGTCTTGTACCATTCACATATAGTGGCTATGAAAAAAAAAATTAGAAGGACATCATTAAATATTAACTATAAATATTTTTTAACTAAATGAACTTAAATGTATTAAATAATTTATTTTCTAAAAAAATTATTAAATTATATTTTTAAACCGATTAGTGGTAGCGCAACTCACTTCCATAGTTGAAAATTAATGATTCCATTATTGTGCACTGCACTGATTTCTCTGTGTAGAAGCTAGTGGTGTAGATAAGATCTGATGTCTGCATGCAGCAAGATGATGTGGTTGAAAATTGTCTCATTAATGTTGTGTAGAAGTTACACAAAATTTGGTAATTACAGCTCAGATGTCAAATACGCATTTTAAACTATGGAAAGGTCCTTTTGTTGTTGTCGAAGGATAGAAACGTGGATAAAGAGGATTTTGCTGTATGTAACAGCCTGTGATAAGTTACTTTTTTCCTGCCTTTACAATCACACTTTTTTATTTATGGTCTACTAGTTAATGTTTTGCATACTTTCGCACATTTTTTAATACTAAAATAGAATTTGAGGTACTAGCTGATAAGGTTCAAGGGGTCCCAGATTCAAGATACATTATTGTAACTGACCACATGATCATCTATTTTTATCTGTCATAGCAAGGAACATATTATCTGTCTTAAAAAAACTGCCTTCCTGACTATTTATAAAAAATTTTATTGTCTGTCTGTTACATATACTTTATTTAATTATAATTCGCGCAAGTTTCTTTGTGTCATGTGATCACAAGCACGAAAAATCAACGAGGATAGATTTCGTAATTATTGGTCGTATCACGGATTTAGTACTGTGAAAACTGTTTAATAAAAATAAAGGCAAAAGCAAATTTCAGTCAAATTGCACGTTTTCAATAATTATTTATATTTAGTATGCAGTTTTAGGTTAGCACAATTAAATTAAATAATTTTTCACGCAGTTGGACCAAAGAACTTATACGCTTCGCGTACACACTTATACAATCTTTGTCCAAACTCGCCATCCAAAGCTAAGGATAATATTGCGCATGCGCTACGCTCCTTTAGACAAACTTCTCCGCCGTACACGAAGCGCTGGCATCGTGCCAGATTTTGTTACGAGTTTCGCGAGTTTCCCATCTTCAGAGTCCAGCGTGAGGAGTCCCCCCCCCCCCCTTTTTTTTTTTT